GTAGGGAAACACTTGAGTGTTGGATTTTCTTCCCAGACAACGCTGAATCTTACTCTTAAACTGAGTGTTTGTTGCTCTGTTTTTTATGGTATTTTTGTATTGTGAACTTCAGGCATTTAGTGAATTTTCTCAAAGTTTATTGACTGTTTAGTAGGAGAGACTTTCAGTACTGCTGCTGAGAGACCATTACACTTCAGACATGGAAGCTGCAGCAAAATGGCTAAATGTACATGGGCTCTAGATTGTTGTAGGACTTAGAGAAAGGGCAGAGACAGACTTTTTTTTCATTGTTCTTATTAACTTTTTTAATGTCAGCTTCAGTGTCAGAGAATGCAGAGCCTGGACCTGAAGAACAAGACAAGTCACTTGACAAACCAAAACAGAAAAAGAATCGTTGTTTCATGTGCAGGAAGAAGGTTGGACTTACTGGTAAGAAATACTGAGTTTTCGTAGACTTTTTTTAGGCTTTGGACCTTTCAAAAGTTCTCTTAAAGGGAAGATGGGGCATGGTCATCTCAATGTTGATTTGAAATAACACTTAGTCAAAGGTGCTTTCAGCTGACTTACCAGATTAGTCACTCATGTATGATTTTGTTTTTCAGCCTCCTGTCTTTAAGTGAAGTTCAGAATCCCAAATACTTCCCTTTGGAAATCTGCTTAGCTGAGGAACTGGATGGTAGTTTGCTGCCATTCACTAACCAGCTTTGCAGTGGTCTAAGTGAAAGGGCCTGAGAACTTGAGTTCTGCAGGGGGAAGATTCATAAACAAAGAAAAAGAGCAGGAGGTCTCTAAGAATATGTTCTGTGCTAGTGTATCATGTGATAGGAAGGAAATGGTGAAGTCAAATCTTCCTGTAATTGCTTAAAAATGTATTATTTGTGATTCTTATACTTTCTGCAGCAAAGACTCTTGGGCTGATTGACACTGGTGACTGAGATTTATTGCTAGTGAGTGAACACATTCAGGATTTTAAAGAAAGCAGTGTCATTAAGAATGTTGAAATGTCTAAGGTGCTGTTTCTGTCCACAGGGTTCGAGTGTCGGTGTGGAAATGTGTACTGCGGAATGCACCGTTACTCAGATGTACACAGTTGCTCCTACAATTACAAAGCTGATGCTGCTGAGAAAATCAGAAAAGAGAATCCTGTAGTTGTTGGGGAAAAGATCCAGAAGATCTGAACTGCTGCTTCTGCTGGAATAAAAAAAATTCTCCGACCATCTGCAGATTAAATTGACTTGAGCTTTTTTCCTTAGTCATCAGGAACGTAGAGCAGTGTATCTTGCCTAGACCTTTTAATCATGCATGTCATCAGATGAATAGATTTTTTGTTTTCGTTTTTTTTTGTTTTGAAAATGACTCTGAACATTATTTTCATTGCAGTTTTCTGTGGCTGAAGACTTAAGTAAACTTTACAAGTATTATCCTTTAAGATCATTTTAATTTTAGTTGAGTGCAGAGGGCTTTTATAACAAACATGGAGAAAATATTGGAGGGCTGTGCTTTTCCAGGATAAAACATGCATGCGTTAACTTTGCAGTTTATTTTCTTGTTGTATATAGCTTTTCTCTGCAGCACAATTTCCTTTTTTTTTTTTTTTTTTTTTGATAATGCCTTGTATGGCACAACTAGTTATCAGTAACTGAATGTATTTTAATCATTATGGCTGCTTCTGGTTTTTTTTCCCCATTAACGAGAGGTTATACATGTTCGCATATTAGCTTGTTTGCACCCTCTACCTATTTATGTATGAATCATTTGTAATGAGAGTGTGTGCTGAGATTGTGTGGGGTTTTTTGTTGTTTTGTTTTTGGTTTCTTTTTCTTTTTTTTTAAATTGGGGTTTGTTTTCGTGTGTGTGGGGGGAAGGCTGTATGCACTTCATTGACTGCAGTTTTCATTGGGATTACATCCATCAGTTTGTCTGTACACAAATATGAAGAATGATCTGAAGTACCTGTGCTGTATTTATGTTTATCCACGTCTTAACTTTGATTAAATAAAATTTTAAAAAAATCAGAGCCCCTGTGGCTGTCACTGGCATATGTAATTTGGGTTTCTCTGGCTTTATTTTCATGGGGACCTTACAGTGGATTTATTCAGAGACCATGTGTATCCCAATGCCAGCTGACTTCTGATGGGGCTTTTTGCCTGTTCACCTATTACTATGAGACACTGCAGTTTCCAAGTTTTTATCTTGTGTGTTGATAGATTTCAGGGATGTTGTGGCTGCCCCAACCCTGGCAGTGTTCAAGGTCAGGCTGGATGAAGCCTTGAGCAACCTGATCTAGTTGGGGAGGTGTCTCTGCCCATGGCAGGGGAGTGGGGCTAGATGACCTGTAAAGTCCATTCCAGCCCTTAAATTCTATGGTTCTGTGATTCTGCCCCAGGAGTTCTCCATGCACACATGCAGTGTGTCATTCCTGTGCAGGAGTTGGGGTAATCTGTGACAAGGTACTTAAGTTGGGGGGCAGCCCTCCAGGTAAAAGATGTGACCAGTGACTAGGCTGTGGAGCCTTGTGTGTGATTCTGGTTCTAGGAGATCCAGCTGTGGGGTTTGGGATCCGCTGTCTAATGTACAGCACTGCAGGAGGAATTGTATTGTTTTGTGAGGGTGCTCAGTAAGGTTTTTTCTTCAAGATTGCCTGTGTTGTGAGATCAGAGTCTGTGCCTCAACCTTTCAACTCCCCTGGTCATCTCTGCAGCTTAGAGGTGGTTCCTGTAGTGCCATGGAAGCCTCACCCAGTGCTGCTTATCACCAAACATAGCAGTGCATGAAAGTAGCACCAACTCCTTTCCGGATGGTACTGATCTGCAGCTGAAATGTCACTGGGTGACTTGCTGCTGCTTTGAAGCATTTGTGAAATAAATGTGATTGCACAGCTTTATTTAAAACATTAAATTTTTAATCAAAGCCGGCTCCATCCTTTTAAATTCCGAACGCTCTGTAAAAGCTATGGCTGGCAATTAGTAGATAAAACACTACATCTAGGTTATAAACACTGTGCAGCAGAAGGAGCTTTCTGTTGTAGTTATGAAGAGTAATCTGCAAGACCAAATAATAAATGAAGTACCTTGTGCTTGTGCAAATAATCTAACCACAGTCTGTGAAACACATGGGGTTTATGGTAAAGGAAGGAATAAATAACTTACTGGCAAATTTCAGTAATGGTCTGCCTTGTCAGGGGTCAAAGGTCATGTGTTTCCTCAGCATTTGCTAAACTTCCTCTTACATAGCATTGAGCATGGACAAGCAGCAGTGTCATCTTTGGCAGGTGTTCCTCAGTTGACCTTCCTCTTTGCTGCTGCTTCCCTATTCTCTGATCCTCCTCAATTTGATTCCTATCCCTTCCCTATTTCTGGTCTCTCTCTCCCTTTTCCTAAGTCTGTCCTTTTCTCTCCCCTATGTGCCTTCCCCACCATTCTATCACCTGACAGTGATGCCTCTGGGCCAGGCAGAGAGGAGACACCATAAATTTCTCACTGGTGGGAAAACAAGTGTTTTCTGGTGTCTGAGAAAATGAAAGAAAAAAAGTATAAGAAAAGTGATTACCTTTGCAATTCACATATTCCCTTTACCCCACCACCTGTTATAGAGCAACAACTCTTCTGGTCCTCAATCACACGGTAGGAAATGTAACTCTGCCAAGAGGAACGTTGCCTGGCAGTGCCCACAGTGAGGTAGATCAGGCTTTTCTGCTTCCACACCTCTCATTCTTCAAGCAATCTAATAAACCTCCTTTGGCCTGGCTTGTGCAGGTCTTTCAGAGGTAACAATAGGGAAGGAGCATATGCTCCTGCTGTACAAGCTTACACTTCAACTGGAAACCCACCGTTCCCTGACACCTGGGATTTGCATGTCGCGTGTGTTTGCTTTGGCATTGGCTCTGTGTTATCCTGGTGGTTGATCTGCTTTTCAGGATGTATTTTGTGTCATCAGCTTGAGGTTAGCAGATTAACGTTTTAATTAACACCAGCACATTCACAGCACGATGAAATGCTTTGCGTAAATCTGTCTTCTCACATTGGACACCATGGGAACATGGTTTTGTTTCCTGTTTGGAACACCTTGCTGTGAAACATCTTCGCTGTGTTACATTTCCAGTAGTGAAATGGAGTTGCACCTTAGCTACAAGAATTTTACAGGAAATTTTCTAGAAGTTTGTGCAAACAATGTATTATTTAATACAAATCCCTCTTCAAACAGCACTGGTTGAGCTTGTGTCTCCACTAGTGAGTGCCTGTTGCACATGGGGCTGTCACTGATGCTGTTGTGTCATCTTGCATTGAATCTCTGGCTGTACAACTTGCTGCATTTCTTCTAATGACTCTTCTCTGCAAAGAAAAATATAAAATCGAGCAGGAAACAAATTCTTTGGCTTGGCAGTCACAAGCATCTAACTATTTTATTGAAAAGAGGTGATCTTTGCTATCTAATTCTAATTTCAGTGATGTTCCCTTGTCGGTTTCTACTTCTGAATATGGCTGAATTTTCTTCTGCAGGTTGGAGAAAGTTGGGACTGGGAGCAGAAGGATTGGCCTCCCTGCTCTTTATGGTTGGCTACACACCTGTCTCTGGTTTTAAGCTGCTGGAACTATCTGGAAAAAGTGGAAGGACTCAGGTGCAGCATTGCACATCTAAAAAACACACAAAGTGCAGTTTCAGGTGTGAATTGTGCAACTTCCCAAGGGCTGCTGAGCTCCTGGTGGGAGAGCTGCTTAGTGGGGGCATCATTTCACCAATGCCCTGGTGTGTAGGTGATCCCTTGGAAGGTAAACAAGTGGAATTACCTCAAAGCAGTCTCTGTGGATCACCCACCTGCAGCCAAGTGCCTGTTACAGCAAGGCCTCAGTTTCATGTGAGGGTTTATAGAATCATAGAAGCATTTGGGTTGGAGAAGACCTCCAGGTTCATCAGGTCCAAATGTTAACCCTGCACTGCCAAGGCTACCACTAAACATGTGCCACACCTACACATCTTTTAAGTATCTTCCAGGAAAGGTAACTTGGAGGAGGAAAACCCCATTTCTCCAGGATTGCTCCCTTGCTGGGAGCAGTTAGCAGCTGCTGACTCAGGCAAACCTCTGGCACTGATTAACCACTGCCAGGCAGAGGGGTGGGATGGCAAGGGAGCAGTGATTGGTTGGGGGCTGAGGACAGAGGGTGGGATTTGATGCTTCTCTGCTCTGGGTTGCACCGCCGGGAAAGGATCTTCTTCCTTGGAAAGCACATAGCACCTGGGAGGTGGGGGCTGTCATCTGTAAGCAGGGACTGCTCAGGGTTCAGCATGTCTTTCATCCAGGTAGACAAGGACTCGGATTTTCCTCTCCAAAATCTCCCCTATGGGGTTTTCTCCACTAAGGAGGAGGTGAGTAACAGCAAACTTTACCATTGTGGTGTAATTGTTCTAAGGCTATGAGAAGGCAGAAATTCCAGACAACATGGGATAAAGGAAAACTTCCCAGCCCGAGACTCGCACAGGCTTCCTGACCCAACAGCAAAGCTGTAGCTCCTGCATTGTCTGTTTCCTTGTGATTATTTTGAGGAAGGATTCTTTAAAACTGCTCAAAAGAAATGAGAAGTGTTAACACTGACGAGAAGTGCTTTGGTTAATACATACAGTAATTTTTGTGTGGTTTTGACTGTGTTTTTGTGAACTAATTAAATGTGTTTGATCCTTTCTGTCTCTACATGGAGGCCTGGTACAGTTCACACATTTTAACTCAATCCCTCATTTTCTTTGACTGGCTGTAATCACACCGACACCCTTTAGAAGCCACATTAAACACTGCTCTGTGTGAGTTTGGTTGGTGGCTGCCCAAGCATTAAACCAGGGCACCAAATGTGTGTTTCATCTGTCTTTGCAGCTGACCTGTTCTATCTTACAGTGCATGTGTTTATGCAACACTGCATTAAACGTGCAGAGGTGTGTTATGTTTAAATCTGTGCCCAAAGGCTACAGGTTGAGCTAGCTCCAGGCCTTAGATTTTATGATCACGTAAGAAAACATGGTGTAACCTTTCTGCCAAGGAGGTAGATCCTAATTCCCATTTTTATGAGAACTGAGCCAGCTAGGCTGAAGGTCACACTTCTGCCTGATGAGATGGAGCCCCAGAGATGTGTCCTCCTGGAGAAAGGGAACCAAGCCAAGAGCCACATCTCAGAAGGAGAAAGTGAAGGATTTATTTATCATTGCTCATGGAAACTTCATTATTATCTCCTGGTTTCTGCTGCTCAGCTTATCCATGCGGGTTTAAGAAAAAAAAAAAAAGAAGAATTTAAACCAGAAGGTTGTGTTTCCTGATGTACTTTCCAAAGATAAAGCCGAGATGGTTCGTTTAATCTCCTCCTAGATGTGTGTGCTGTTATCTAGCAAGTTTGGATTATTTTTCTGCCTTCTTCAGCAACTGTTCTCTGAAGAAAACATCTTCACTCAGAGCCTATGAAAAGACAGGCAAGGACTTATGGAAATTATTTAGGAAAATAATGTTCTAAAAGTAGCCCAATGTTTTAATGATTTCAGGCTAAAACAGTTGATGTCATTCCTGACTATCCCAGTTACAAATTAACCTGACATGACCTTTAGATTTTTTCTGCAGAAATGTTTGCTAAATAAATACTTATTACCACATTTGGCATCTTGTTTAGAAATTAGAGGTTAAAAAATAGGTTTAATAGCATAGATTTTCAAGGATGGTTATTTTGGTGAGCTCGTTTTGAGAATGACTGTAAGTGGTGTGTCTTTAGTTGCCTAAAGACCCAAATAATTGAAATTTGTCTTTGAAGGCTGCAGCATGTTTGAACCCCACACAGCTGTGGTGGAGCTGCTGTGGGACTGTCTGTGCTCCGTCGCCGCCGGCTCCGCACGCGCTTGGCCACGAGGCATCAACAGGGGCTTTGTCTCTTGGGCTGCATCTGTCCAGCCAGTGCAGCCACGATCCACCCTGAGGGTGGGATGCTGTTCCTGCAGCAAGGACCTGGGGGCATGAGCTCCTCACGTGCTGTGAGGATGGGTGATGTAGGGCAGCCTCAATTGGCATGGTGTAGTAA